TTGAATTTTAGCAGCTGTGTAACATTCAGCAAAAGAAAGTTTATTTTAACTTTTATAACAGAAACTCAGTTTTGATTATACTGTTATATCTTGGATGTAGAAATAGCCAGACATGATTGAAGTTTCCAGGATGGTAAGAGAAGAAGCCTCTATAGATAAAACCATATTAGTCAAAATTTATTTAAAATAAGTTTCTTTGGTAGTAAAATATTTGTGCGCAGAAATTTTAATTTGGGTACATTTTTTTCTTGTTTAAAATCAAAGCAAACATTGGCTGTGGTTTATATTGTGAGTCAGAATTAATTTAGGTTAGATAAAAACCTCAGCTTTGCTGATCTGACAGAGCACCGGCTCTACTTTAAACCAATCAGACAGTTTTTCCGTCTCTTCTCTTTTCTCCTGTTGGAGTCTGGAAGACTTTTGATTAAATGCATCAGGTACGAACTTTTAATTCAAACACCTGAAACTTCTTATTTAGCATGCAACCAGCTCAATTTTCTGCATTCTGAACAAGACTGGTAGTCTTTTGAGATATAAATATTGGCATTATATAGTTAGAGGCCAAAAGAAAACTGGTGCCTTTAAGCTGCAGGTTGTCATTAGTAGAGCTGAATCTTGCTCATTAGGGCTGGGATTCTGTTTATCATAACAGATCTGTACTTGCAGCTGTGGTATGATTTAGTGGAGGTATGCGTGGCTGTATATGCAGGGCATGTATAACGGCAAAAAAGAAGGCGCTGCTTTAACCACAAACATGCAGGCTAAAGCTTTTGCAGGATGGATGTGATTGTGATCTCCAGCTGCCTGACAAAGTATGCAGGTAAACAGAGCAGCTTTAAGCTGTGTGCAGCCCAAATACTCTGATGAAAGTAAAGATATCAGTAGTTCTACCCCTGCTTCATCTTTCTGACCACAAATTCACAGCAAAGGTGTGTTTTACGCTGTTTTACTGGATTCAAAAATAAGACATCAGTGAATACTGAACGATCAAAGTGCCTGAAATTACCAAAAAATGGTG